CCCCCTATATATACCACTATTACAAACTTCCCGCCTACTATAACAGGAAATTACTACGATCTCCCCCTATATATACCACTACTACAAACTCCCCGCCTACTATAACAGTAAGAAATTACTACGATCTCCCCCTATATATACCACTATTACAAACTTCCCGCCTACTATAACAGGAAATTACTACGATCTCCCCCTATATATACCACTACTACAAACTCCCCGCCTACTATAACAGTAAGAAATTACTACGATCTCCCCCTATATATACCACTATTACAAACTTCCCGCCTACTATAACAGGAAATTACTACGATCTCCCCCTATATATACCACTATTACAAACTTCCCGCCTACTATAACAGTAAGAAATTACTACGATCTCCCCCTATATATACCACTATTACAAACTTCCCGCCTACTATAACAGGAAATTACTACGATCTCCCCCTATATATACCACTATTACAAACTTCCCGCCTACTATAACAGGAAATTACTACGATCTCCCCCTATATATACCACTATTACAAACTCCCCGCCTGCTATAACAGTAAGAAATTACTACGATCTCCCCCTATATATACCACTATTACAAACTTCCCGCCTACTATAACAGGAAATTACTACGATCTCCCATATATATACCACTATTACAAACTCCCCGCCTGCTATAACAGGAAATTACTACGATCTCCCCCTATATATATACCACTACTACAAACTCCCCGCCTACTATAACAGGAAATTACTACGATCTCCCCCTATATATACCACTACTACAAACTCCCCGCCTGCTATAACAGTAAGAAATTACTACGATCTCCCCCTATATATACCACTACTACAACCCCCCCCCCTTTCCGCTATAACAGGAAATTACTACGATCTCCCCCTATATATACCACTACTACAAACTCCCCGCTTGCTATAACAGGAAATTACTACGATCTCCCCCTATATATATACCACTACTACAAACTCCCCGCCTACTATAACAGGAAATTACTACGATCTCCCCCTATATATACCACTATTACAAACTTCCCGCCTACTATAACAGGAAATTACTACGATCTCCCCCTATATATACCACTATTACAAACTTCCCGCCTACTATAACAGGAAATTACTACGATCTCCCCCTATATATACCACTATTACAAACTTCCCGCCTACTATAACAGGAAATTACTACGATCTCCCCCTATATATACCACTATTACAAACTTCCCGCCTTTCCGCTATAACAGGAAATTACTACGATCTCCCCCTATATATACCACTACTACAACAGGAAATTACCCCCCCTATATATACCACTATACACACTCCCCGGAAATTACTACGATCTCCCCCTATATATACCACTACTACACACTCCCCGCCTACTATAACAGGAAATTACTACGATCTCCCCTATATATACCATTATTACAAACTTCCCGCCTCCTATAACAGGAAATTACTACGATCTCCCCCTATATATACCACTACTACAAACCTCCCTCCTACTATAACAGGAAATTACTACGATCTCCCCCTATATATACCACTACTACAAACTCCCCGTCTGCTATAACAGGAAATTACTACGATCTCCCCCTATATATACCACTACTACAAACTCCCCGCCTGCTATAACAGGAAATTACTACGATCTCCCCCTATATATACCACTACTACAAACTCCCCGCCTACTATAACAGGAAATTACTACGATCTCCCCTATATATACCACTACTACAAACTCCCCGTCTGCTATAACAGGAAATTACTACGATCTCCCCCTATATATACCACTACTACAAACTCCCCGTCTGCTATAACAGGAAATTACTACGATCTCCCCCTATATATACCATTACTACACACTCCCCGCCTACTATAACAGGAAATTACTACGATCTCCCCCTATATATACCACTACTACAAACTCCCCGTCTGCTATAACAGGAAATTACTACGATCTCCCCCTATATATACCACTACTACAAACTCCCCGCCTACTATAACAGGAAATTACTACGATCTCCCCCTATATATACCACTACTACAAACTCCCCGTCTGCTATAACAGGAAATTACTACGATCTCCCCCTATATATACCATTACTACACACTCCCCGCCTACTATAACAGGAAATTACTACGATCTCCCCTTATATATACCACTGCTACAAACTCCCCGCCTGCTATAACAGGAAATTACTACGATCTCCCCTATATATACCATTATTACAAACTCCCCGCCTACTATAACAGGAAATTACTACGATCTCCCCCTATATATACCACTATTACAAACTCCCCGCCTGCTATAACAGTAAGAAATTACTACGATCTCCCCCTATATATACCACTATTACAAACCTCCCGCCTACTATAACAGGAAATTACTACGATCTCCCCCTATATATACCACTACTACAAACTCCCCGTCTGCTATAACAGGAAATTACTACGATCTCCCCCTATATATACCACTACTACAAACTCCCCGCCTGCTATAACAGTAAGAAATTACTACGATCTCCCCCTATATATACCACTACTACAAACTCCCCGCCTCCTATAACAGGAAATTACTACGATCTCCCCCTATATATACCACTATTACAAACTTCCCGCCTACTATAACAGGAAATTACTACGATCTCCCCCTATATATACCACTACTACAAACTCCCCGCCTACTATAACAGGAAATTACTACGATCTCCCCCTATATATACCACTACTACAACCCCCCCCCCCTTTCCGCTATAACAGGAAATTACTACGATCTCCCCCTATATATACCACTACTACAAACTCCCCGCCTGCTATAACAGGAAATTACTACGATCTCCCCCTATATATACCACTACTACAAACTCCCCGCCTCCTATAACAGGAAATTACTACGATCTCCCCCTATATATACCACTACTACAACCCCCCCCCCCTTTCCGCTATAACAGGAAATTACTACGATCTCCCCCTATATATACCACTACTACACACTCCCCGCCTACTATAACAGGAAATTACTACGATCTCCCCCTATATATACCACTACTACAAACTCCCCGCCTGCTATAACAGGGAATTACTACGATCTCCCCCTATATATACCACTATTACAAACTTCCCGCCTACTATAACAGGAAATTACTACGATCTCCCCCTATATATACCACTACTACAAACTCCCCGCCTGCTATAACAGGAAATTACTACGATCTCCCCCTATATATACCACTACTACAAACTCCCCGCCTCCTATAACAGGAAATTACTACGATCTCCCCTATATATACCACTACTACAAACTCCCCGCCTACTATAACAGGAAATTACTACGATCTCCCCCTATATATACCACTACTACAAACTCCCCGCCTACTATAACAGGAAATTACTACGATCTCCCCCTATATATACCACTACTACAAACTCCCCGCCTACTATAACAGGAAATTACTACGATCTCCCCCTATATATACCACTATTACAAACTCCCCGCCTGCTATAACAGGAATTATATATACTACGATCTCCCCTATATATACCACTGCTACAAACTCCCCGCCTACTATAACAGGAAATTACTACGATCTCCCCCTATATATACCACTATTACAAACTTCCCGCCTACTATAACAGGAAATTACTACGATCTCCCCTATATATACCACTACTACAAACCCCCCGCCTACTATAACAGGAAATTACTACGATCTCCCCCTATATATACCACTACTACAAACTCCCCGCCTGCTATAACAGGAATTATTCTCCCCCTATATATACCACTATTACAAACTTCCCGCCTACTATAACAGGAAATTACTACGATCTCCCCTATATATACCACTGCTACAAACTCCCCGTCTGCTATAACAGGAAATTACTACGATCTCCCCCTATATATACCACTACTACAACCCCCCCCCCCCCCTTTCCGCTATAACAGGAAATTACTACGATCTCCCCTATATATACCACTGCTACAAACTTCCCGCCTACTATAACAGGAAATTACTACGATCTCCCCCTATATATACCACTACTACAAACCCCCCGCCTACTATAACAGGAAATTACTACGATCTCCCCCTATATATACCACTATTACAAACTTCCCGCCTACTATAACAGGAAATTACTACGATCTCCCCTATATATACCACTACTACAAACCCCCCGCCTACTATAACAGGAAATTACTACGATCTCCCCCTATATATACCACTATTACAAACTCCCCGCCTACTATAACAGGAAATTACTACGATCTCCCCCTATATATACCACTATTACAAACTCCCCGCCTGCTATAACAGTAAGAAATTACTACGATCTCCCCCTATATATACCACTATTACAAACTCCCCGCCTGCTATAACAGTAAGAAATTACTACGATCTCCCCCTATATATACCACTATTACAAACTCCCCGCCTGCTATAACAGTAAGAAATTACTACGATCTCCCCCTATATATACCACTACTACAAACTCCCCGCCTACTATAACAGGAAATTACTACAATCTCCCTCTATATATACCACTACTACAACCCCCCTCCCCCCGCTATAACAGGAAGAAATGACTACAATCTCCCCCTATATATACCACTATTACAAACTCTCCATCTTAATTGTGATCAAACAATCTCATTTAAGAATATATGTATTATGAAAAAAACATTGCTATCATTTTTCACTCTACCGCGGAATAACGTTTATTTAAACTTGTATACTGGCTGTTGTGCATCATGAATGATATTGGACATTTGTAAATTAACTGTCTGGAAATAAACGCTGTTAAAAATTAGATTATTTACAAAAGTTCACGGGCATCAAACATAAATCTAAGATTTTTTTTCTAAATATCAATTATGTACTAACCTGTATTCTATACACAGGCGCAGAGAAAATGTTTACAATTCTTTGATAACTGGTTGACTTAATTACATAAAGTTTTTACATTAAAATAGCCTAGAACTCCATACATACCTCCGTATCGCACCGTCACATACACCATGTTTGTTCAGGTTAGTAAAACTTGCACTTGTTTGTTGTTCTATTTGAAAATTACATAGTTGTCAACTTCACAGCATGACACGGCCAGTTTTATCCTGCTCGACGAATTCCAAACAACTGTTCAACTTGTGCCTGTTTTGAAAAAAACTTGAGGTGTTATTGCTAAGATCGCACACTGTTTAGTGTGCTAATAAGGCATGTATTAACGAGGGTCAATTTTTGACATTTAAATATACATCTACTTATAGGTTATTGTATATGGTCGGTTACACACCACACCTTGTGACAAGGGATTATCAGGTTTTACTTTGTAAGGTAATACGGAACACGATCGTAAGACTGGTATACCAACAGTGGCCATGAAGTGATGTTAATTGAAATCAATAAAGTGATCAGTCAATTAATTAATAACGAAAAAACAGACGAGTAAATTGTCAAAAAAAAATCTTCCTTTCATCAAGACACGAAATAAAAAAAGTAACTTCATATACATAGAACACAAAACAAAGGCAAAGATTTAATCTATAATCGAGAACAATAATGTAAAAAAAAATGTTTTTGTTAAATCCTTCAGACGATGGATAATTGGCCCGAGGGAGTTTTGAGACACTTTACAACGATATAGTAAAATAGAAAAAAGAAACATATTAAAGAAATAGGTTTAAAATACCAAAGGATTGATCAATATAAAATGTTTACGAGTAGTAAACAAAATGATATTAATATATATATAATATATACGTTATATAGAAGTAATAGATTGTGATATATAGGTTATATAGAAGTAATAGACTGTGAATATAGGTTATATAGAAGTAATAGACTGTGATATATAGGTTATATAGAAGTAATAGACTGTGATATATAGGTTATATAGAAGTAATAGACTGTGATATATAGAAGTAATAGACTGTGATATATAGAAGTAATAGACTGTGATATATAGGTTATATAGAAGTAATAGACTGTGATATATAGGTTATATAGATGTAATAGACTGTGATATATAGGTTATATAGAAGTAATAGACTGTGATATATAGAAGTAATAGACTGTGATATATAGGTTATAAAGAAGTAATAGACTGTGATATATAGGTTATATAGAAGTAATAGACTGTGATATATAGGTTATATAGAAGTAATAGACTGTGATATATAGATATAGTAATAGACTGTGATATATAGAAGTAATAGACTGTGATATATAGGTTATATAGAAGTAATAGACTGTGATATATAGGTTATATAGAAGTAATAGACTGTGATATATAGGTTATATAGAAGTAATAGACTGTGATATATAGGTTATATAGAAGTAATAGACTGTGATATATAGGTTATATAGAAGTAATAGACTGTGATATATAGGATATATAGAAGTAATAGACTGTGATATATAGGTTATATAGAAGTAATAGACTGTGATATATAGAAGTAATAGACTGTGATATATAGAAGTAATAGTGTGATATATAGAAGTAATAGATTGTGATATATAGGTTATATAGAAGTAATAGACTGTGATATATAGAAGTAATAGACTGTGATATATAGAAGTAATAGACTGTGATATATAGAAGTAATAGACTGTGATATATAGGTTATATAGAAGTAATAGACTGTGATATATAGGTTATATAGAAGTAATAGACTGTGATATATAGGTTATATAGAAGTAATAGACTGTGATATATAGGTTATATAGAAGTAATAGACTGTGTTATATAGAAGTAATAGACTGTGATATATAGAAGTAATAGACTGTGATATATAGGTTATATAGAAGTAATAGACTGTGATATATAGGTAATAGACTGTGATATATAGAAGTAATAGAGTGTGATATATAGGTTATATAGAATTAATAGACTGTGATATATAGAAGTAATAGACTGTGATATATAGAAGTAATAGACTGTGATATATAGATAGTAATAGACTGTGATATATAGGTTATATAGAAGTAATAGACTGTGATATATAGGTTATATAGAAGTAAAAGACTGTGATATATACGTTATATAGAAGTAATAGACTGTGATATATAGGTTATATAGAAGTAATAGACTGTGATATATAGGTATATAGAAGTAATAGACTGTGATATATAGATAGTAATAGACTGTGATATATAGGTTATATAGAAGTAATAGACTGTGATATATAGATAGTAATAGACTGTGATATATAGATAGTAATAGACTGTGATATATAGAAGTAATAGACTGTGATATATAGGTTATATAGAAGTAATAGACTGTGATATATAGGTTATATAGAAGTAATAGACTGTGATATATAATAAGTAATAGACTGTGATATATAGGTTATATAGAAGTAATAGACTGTGATATATAGATAAGTAATAGACTGTGATATATAGGTTATATAGAAGTAATAGACTGTGATATATATGTTATATTGAAGTAATAGACTGTGATATATAGGTTATATAGAAGTAATAGACTGTGATATATAGGTTATATTGAAGTAATAGATTGTGATATATAGAAGTAATATGTGATATTATCCGTTATATAGAAGTAATAGACTGTGATATATGTTATATTGAAGTAATAGACTGTGATATATAGGTTATATAGAAGTAATAGACTGTGATATATAGGTTATATTGAAGTAATAGACTGTGATATATAGGTATATTGATATAGTATATAGACTGTGATATATAGGTTATATAGAAGTAATAGACTGTGATATATAGGTTATATAGAAGTAATAGACTGTGATATATAGGTTATATAGTAATAGACTGTGATATATAGATATAGTAATAGACTGTGATATATAGGTTATATAGAAGTAATAGACTGTGATATATAGGTTATATAGAAGTAATAGATTGTGATATATAGATATAGTAATAGACTGTGATATATAGGTTATATAGAAGTAATAGATTGTGATATATAGAAGTAATAGATTGTGATATATAGGTTACATAGAAGTAATAGATTGTGATATATATGTTATATAGAAGTAATAGACTGTGATATATAGGTTATATTGAAGTAATAGACTGTGATATATAGGTTATATAAAATGTTACAAAGAAGTAATAGATTGTAATGAAAATAAATTTTGTCAACTTTGTAAGCCCCTAATGAAAATAAACTATTAATCTAAAATGCGTTTAATTCTTGAGACGAAAAGCGAACACAGGTAGCACTGTATTTGTCCTACTTATATTTATGACTTATACGCATTGCGTCAACAAAAGGTACTTAATTGTTTATCCGAATCGGAATTTAGTGTTTAAACTTTTTAAATACTGTGTGAGACCTGCCTAGGTGTAGTTTTACGGCTTATCAACAAACTCTCAGTTTTGTTCCGAATAGATTATAGTAAAATGATTTTACTTGATAATTCTGAATATGGTCACACGTATGTATAAACACTGACCTATGTCCAGCTGGCCACGGGGAAACCTTACTGGTGAAGTTAATTATATGCTAGTACACGAGTCGTGAGCTTAGCTACCTTAGCCATACATAGTAGGGGCTGAGAGCTTCTCATACCTTGTTAAAATATTTGCTTGTTGATTGAAAAAACTGTGTAAATAATACCGTCTTAAAATAACCTGTTCTTGTTCCGTGATAATTTACCTACTTTCGTCGTTCTTATGTCCCTTGAGACATTTGTTTTTCTTGTCATTTTTTGAAACGCGTCTTCACTGAGGGCCATGTAATCACACAACGCCTGATCAGACGGTCAGCATTGTTTTAAGGTAAGACACATCTTATGTGGTATGTCTTCCATTTGTTCTAAATTCTCTTATAATGTCTTTTCTTGTCATCGCTATCTTATATTTATCTTAATTCGCTGAATGATTAATTGTATTTATTTTCTTAAATATATTTATTCTAATTCTGTGGTAATGTATCTTCTTGATTTTTGTTTTTTTGTTTTTGTTTGATTCTGTGTGTACGTGCTCCGGAAAAGTTAATGTCTTCTGTTTTCCACCAACAACACACATCATATAAAACGTTATCAGTGAAAGTATTTAATGCCACGTTCCCAAAAGAGAACAATGTAAACAGCAACGGAATCACATGACAAATTAATGAACATTGAAAATATATAACTTTATATCGTACAAGAAAAAAGATATTTTTTTCCTTTTGTTACCATGGTGGTTACCACAAAACTTCCTCGTATCCTTCAAACCTCCAATGCTGAAAACGGTTCGGAGTTTATTTCTCAGCCGTAGGTATTTTGCATCGAACTATCCTGATTAAGTGCACGAGACAGGGGAGTTTTGTTGCTAATATATCATTATACAATGTATGATGATTGACGCTCTAATGGAAGTCGATATCATATGTCAATCGTGATATCATTTACGGAGACTGACGATAATACCATGTAGTGGTCGTGGTATTATTTACGGAGACTGACGATTATACCATGTAGTGGTCGTGGTATTATTTACGGAGACTGACGATTATACCATGTAGCGATCGTGATATTATTTACGGAGACTGACGATAATATAATATAGAGATCGTGATGTTATTTACGGAGACTGACGATAATATAACAAAGCGATCGTTATATTATTTACGGAGACTGACGATAATATATATATCGTCAGTCTCCGTAAATGATATCACGACCACTACATGGTATTATCGTCAGTCTCCGTAAATAATATCACGATCGCTATGTTATATTATCGTCAGTTTACTTGATCATATGTGTACTGTAGGTACGGATATGAACCATAACATAACGGCACAAACCAATTTTAATACGCCGGGGAGAAATACAAGAACTATTTTCATTAAATATCTGTTGTTTTGCATTGACATAGACTTTTACCCACTAAATACGTTCGAGAGACAAAATCACTTTGGTCGCTGGTCGTTGGTAATGTTCACAGCAACACACACACCATAGAAAATATGGTTTTATTTTCGCAGTGATTGGTAAGTTCCCCAAAATATTTTTTGAGAATATGTACATAATATGTCATATAATTGGGTAGAGAATCAATCG